TCCTTTTTGAATGCATATTTTCTTATCTTTGATTCAAATTCCTTCACGCTTTCTTTGACATTAGTTGCTATTTCTTGCATGTAACTGTCATTGTATCCCATCTTTTCTATGGGCTTTGTCTCGATTATCTTCTGGCTATGTTTGACAACATCATTGGTGAAAGCTCTTATCAATTCCTGATCTGTGTATGTTAGAATGTTGCTTGGACCAATGTGGTCAATTGTCATGTTCTCTTGAGACTTCAACCCCCAAAAATCCTTAATAGCACCCCACACATAATTTTTCTGCAATTTGTAATTGTTTGGCTTCCTTTGAGCATCTTTTGAGTGATGATCTTTGTTATAAAGATCTTGGTGCTTAGATTCAATTACATAGTTCAAATAACTCCCCAAGGTACAAATCTTTGGGTACATTCTGCAACTTTTCCGATCATGTACAAGAGACAATTCATTACCGATCTCTCCAAGGATACAAGTCACATCATCTGATATGTTTATGTCCTTAATGGAAGGTGTATCTTCTTTCAACTCAACAACCCACACTCCCCAAAGAGTATTAAATTCATTCTCAAGTTCTTCTTTATCCTTTGCCTTGTCCTTCAGTTTTGAGGCAAGTTCTTTGCTCTTTTGGAAGAGCTTGTTTTCATACTGTGTATTTTTGTCATCCAGCGTTTTGCGTGCATCCCTCTGCTGAATAACCTCCTCTAACTTGTTTTTGCTCCCTTCACAAGTTCATCAAGGAGCTGACAAATTTTAGTTTGAAATCTCCCTCGCCACTGAATCAACATTTCTTTATCTCTATCTTCATCAAAGTACATCTCCATTGATTTGTCCACTTCTTCACGAGTCTTTCTCATTTCTTCAACAAGGTAATGTTTCTCAACCTTGTGAAGTTTTCCATTTTCGATTCGATTTTGTAGTTGATTTTCAATGGTTAGCATGGCACTCCGAGAGCCCAGATCCATTTTCCATACTGAATCTCAAGTTTTCTGTAAACTGCAATTTCAAGTGTGTTTTTGAAGCTGAACACAACGTTTTCATTCAGCAGTGCATTCAAAAGGTATTGGATACTGCTTTTGAACTGTGATACTGTCATGCCAAAAGACTTTGATGTTTTAGAGAGGATCGTTTTCTTTAGCTCCTGGACATTCTCACTGTAGCATGAGTTTGGTGGGGCCATGGGGGTGGGTCTCTTTGTATGTCAAATGCAATGACATCGCTGAAACACTCTGCATTACTGTCCTCTTCTTTGGCAGCTAACTGGGTAATCTCGTCTAGTTTGTCATGTAAGCGCCTCTTTCCCTCCATGTTTTTCTCTCCAGCCGTGATGTCTCCAACATTCTGGTGCACAAACACACAACTTGGAGACAGATTAACTGTCTTCATCCTCACGAAGGCCTGAACAGCTATCTGAATGATGTCCTGCATCAAAGTCATGTTTCCAAGGCCAATGACAAAAGTTGCAAGTTCATTGTCATGGTGCACTGTTGCCTTTCCTGCCAACTATAAAGCTCGATGTCCCTCAGTGTCAACAACGAGAACGTAGTCAAACCTAATGTAATCTTTAATCTCCTCGGTCACTTTCACCAGCTGCATGAAAGCGCCTCTGGTACACCTTCCAGCACTTACTGCGAATTGCAGTCCAAACATTGCATTCAGCATTGTAGATTTCCCAGTGCTCTGGATTCCCAAAATGGACAAAACAAAGACTCTCTGATCTTCTAGTTTCTTGATAACTTCATCTAAAACCCCATTAATCCACATCAGTGGCACATGAGCTGCATCACCATCCATTAGTTCCATTGGGTGTCCCGATATCATATGTTCTGCCGCGAGCTCTGGAAGGTTAGACAAGGTCACCTCACTTTCTCCTTTACTTTCCCTGGGCAGAGATGCATGGGCTTCATAGATCTGTCCCATTTCCCTCAGGATGTGCTCAAATCCAAAGGTTGCTGCTTGCAGCTTTTCTGATATTTTTTCCAGCTCCATTTGTCTCATTTTCAGTTGCTCTGATTTATCATGCTTCTTTTTCAAAGCCAGGACCTCAGACCACTTTTCATCATATTTGTGATGAAGGTCTGAGAGCTCATCCGAGGACAGGTCATCCAGTAGTATCATTACCCACTTGAGGAAATATTATTTTTCTTTTTCTCCTAGAGATTGTAGATTTGTGATGAACATCTGCATGAATTCAGTAAAGGCAACTTGTTGTTGATGCTGTCGAATTTACATCATTTCACATTGTATTTTACTTCTTTCCATCTCTAGGTTCCCTTGAAGACGATTAAGGTCTTTATTCTTTTGACACCAGTCATGCCACAGCCTTCCTTGACATGGAAGAAATGTTTATTTGATATTGGACCGTTCCATTTTCTTAAGCAGATCCTTTATCTGCAGAGCATTAGTCTTCCCTACCTGGCAATCTTCATCATCATCATCTACCCTAACCCCTGGGTACTCTGCCATGTCCTCAAGTTTGAAGGAGCGACATGGTCTTGACAAATTATTTCTAATGATCCCTTTTAGGTCCTCGGACACATCTGACTGATTTCTGTCTCTTAAACCCATTTTGTACTTTCCCTTTTTTTATTTCAGTTGAAACAGAATCCTCTTCAGTGAGCAGACATATCAGAGGTTTAGAAGACTTGAACAGCTCCTGCACGATTGCCATCCTTTTGTCGCCTTTTCCAAGACTTGGTAAAAGGATAACATTGACTGAGGCTTTTTCAATCAGTATGTCACGCTGAATTTCATTCGCTATGGCACCACCATGGAGATTACAGAATGCAACACATTCAGTGAAAATATCTTTGGGCTTCCCAGCAGGACAATACCATGCAATCTCTACCACCCCATCCATTAGGAGGCAGGTTTTACTGCTTCATGGACAGTGTCTGTGGAAGAATGTGCTGTGACGTTGGTTGATCAAGTTGTTCATCAGCTGAGATTTTGATGACGACACAGATCCAAGCCTAAAGAATGACACCATTGGTGTTTCTGCCTTGTAAATAGGAATACTTTGGCTGGTGACCATATTAGAGCCATTAGTGGACTTCCAGGTTTTTCTGATTTGTCGAAATGTCCACAAAGGGCATTCAATCTCTTTGGTGAAGGGATTTGGCACAAGCAAAGGCAAGGCATACTGACACAAGGACAGCTTTGTGACCATGAACTGCCGAAGGAAACTGTCTGAACAGTGAAACACTGCCATCTGGACGTCCATTGGGTGAACATGCGTGTTCCTCTTTATATCACTCGAGACTGTGTTCTTGTTGAAAAGGGCATCAAAGGCACTTTCTTCTGTTTCTGCATTATCACTTCTGTTGTCATTTGTGTCATGCATCTCACTATTCTCCTCTCTTACAGGAATGTACCTGGCTCTGTAGTCCAGCATCAACAACCTTTGTAGGAAAGTATGAGCTAGTTTGTTCTCTGTTTGGGGTTCGTGTTGATGTTGAGCGGAAGAGCCAATGTTCAGGAAGTCTGCAGTTGTCAACTTATCTTGATATTTATCTTGAAGGTGAAGTCTACACATGAGCTCTTCTACTTTTGGTAGTTGTATATTTTCCGGGATGTTATTTTCATTTAAACTCCCGTCGATTTCCTCAAGTCTCATTTCTTCTCCCTTTAACGTTAACCAAACACATTTTAATAGCTTAGTAAGTCAAAACATCTGCCATACTATGAACAGACATACTTAAGAGCATGGGCGGTGTGTTCAATAGGGCGATATGGGCGACGCACTGCCAAACGGGAAAAGGAAGGGATTTTTTTTCTAATCAATTATATCATGGCAACAGTAGTTCAGTGTTCACGTCTGATCTGCCAGCCACTAAATGTCCAATCAGGCTAAAGTCGTGCTTCAAATGTCCCCGCCCGTTTTGGGGCGATTTCAGTCAGGTTGAAAATCGCCCAGAAGTCTCTCATAGCCTCTAATGTAAAATATTTTTTTTTCAAATTTCTGAGCTTTCAATACATTCTCTATGGGTGTCTGAGGGCTTGCACTTACGCGCTTTCGTCATACGTAACGTAACGTAACCATGAACGGCAGACAGCAACGCTTGGACAGCGACTGGTGTAACCGACATGCACCATCTTTCAGAAAAGATTAAGAAAAATGAGCTGTCAAAGACCCACATTGATAGCTGTTTGAGATTGTCTGCTTTGGTGAGAGTGAATATTGCCACTCAACTGGATGAGGGATACAGGCTAGCTGTCCGCCGCCACAACGATGAGGTTAGCAACAGCAGAGTCGTGAACACTGTCTACGAGAATCGAGACGACCTCATAGAATGTTTTGAAGCCATCCGGACGGGTTCATTGGGTTCATTTGACCAGCCCACCGTACCAGAAGCTACAGAATAAGGACATCGATGCTGTCTTTATCAAACGTGCCCTCGACAGCTTCGCAAGCAGTGTGCAGGCCATAAGGTAAGATAAAGATTAAACAATATCATTCGATCTTTCTCAAAGCAGAGCTTTATTTGAAAATGTATGCATGAAAGGAGACTGCATTTGTGTTTGAAATTACATTATTGTCATTATATATGGCCAGTGGTGTAATCTATCTTATTTTATATACTATGTGTACTGTACAGTGGTGCTCATAAGTGTATGAACACATTCTAAAGCTGACTAAAAAGAGGAATAAAAAAATAAAAAAATCATCTTTTGGAAATTGATCTTAATGACTTAATTAAAAAAGTTGGAAAATCCAACCTTTAAGGACACCAATTTTCTTTTCTTTTTTATTCCTCTTTTTAGTCAACTTTAGCATGGGATCATAAGCTTATGAGCACCACTGTATACTGTGCTGAACATCCAGGCTATGTGAGACACAAAGGCTAACTTAAACACTAAAGACTTTATGCATCCCTGCCCATTTTAAGTGGAACTGAAGTATTTGTACTATACATGGATACATTGCATATACCTGTGCATCACATAGACAACAATACTGTACAAAGCCAACAAACACATTGGTCTGTTTGCCTTCAGGGACTCCTCTCAACAGCAGCTGCAAGAAGCAACAGGAGCCAAAAGACCCAGAACAGCTTTGAGAGAAGAGGAGAAGCAGAGGCTGTCTGAAGAGGTCTGCAACACCATCCTGGATCACACCAAAGAAAGGTTCTCTTTCTCTGGCCACCTTGTGAGTGCTACCTTACTGCAAGCAGACATGTTTGAAAGGTACTGCCATTCAAAAAAATAAAAAATCTGTTCATGTTAATTTTTACAAATCTATACAATTGGCCAGAATATGGTTGTTCATATTTACAAATCTATACAATTGGCCAGAATATGGTTGTTCATTTTTACAAAGCCATACATATTGTTTATGCAGTGTTGAGGAATGTGAAAGAACACCCTTGATTATTTTTACTGTGATAACTTATTTTGCTTTTGTAAGCCAACACTTTTGAGATCAGTCAATAAATGCTTCTGGTATTGACTTATATGCTGCCCCTGTCTTCATGTTGTTGCTGGACATATCTTTTTAAAAATGTGTGTAGGTCACCTAAATCATCAGAAAAATTGCCCCTCCTGAGAATTTTTTCAGGAGCCGCCACTGCTTAAGAGTGACATTTAGGAGATACAGTTTCTAGTGAAAGTTTACACACCCCTTGCACAGTCTTCACATTTTGCAGCCTTAAAATTAAATCTAAAAAGGGATTAAATTAGTTTTTTTCCCTACCGATCTACACAACCTACTCCATATTTTAAAAGTGAACGAAAAATATATAAATTGTCAATTTATTACAAATAAGAAAACGAAGATGTCTTGATTGTGTATGTCTTCACACCCCAGAGTAATAATTGGTGGAAGCCCTTTTGGCAGCCATTACAAACCTTTACCTGGGCTTTGGTCCTTTCATATTTATTTTGATCCTGACAAACACCCCAGTCCCTGCCGGTGACAAGCATACCCATAACATGATGCTGCCACCACAAGATTTGAAAATACAGGAGGGTTTCACTCTGTGTTGTATTGGACTTGACCCAAGCCTGTTGATTTTAATCTAGGCCAAAAAGTTATTTTATTTTCCGTATTATCTTGCAGGATTACTTAACGGCGTTGTTGCAAACAATGGATGATTTGGAGTGGATAAAAAAAATGATTAATTATTTTCACTTTGTCATACAGGCCAGTAATGTGGAGTGAATGCAATGTTGTTGATCCTATGTATGTCCTAAGTATTGTGGTGGTAGCATCATTTTATGGGTATGGTTGTCACTGGCACGGAATTTTATTTTTCAGCGAGACAATTACACACATCTTAATGCCAAAGACACCAGAATGGCTTTGTGTTGAGTGTTTCTGAAGTGTCCAGTCTCAGTCCTGACTTAAATCTGCTTGAAATCAGACTTAAGGTTTAAATATTGCTATCAATGATTCCCAACCAAAATTACTGAGCTTGAGCAATATTGACTAAAACAATGGACATATGTTGTGCAAAGTTGGTAGAATCTTATTCAAAATTATTCACAGCTGCCAAAGATGCTTCCACCATGTGTGAAGACATTCGCAATCAAGACATCTTGGTTTTTCATTTTTTATTAATTTGGAAAATGTTTTATAATATTTATTTCACCTTGAAAATGTGGAGTAGGTTCTGTACATAAGTAGGAAAAAATCGAATTTAATAAATGTTTTGATTTAATTTTAAGGCAGCAAAATGCGAAGACTGTGCAAGGGGTGTGTAGAATTTCACAAGGCACTGTATGTGAGCTTAACAGAGGTTGTGTGAGGTTATTTCAAATTTACCTTTTCTTTGTTTGCAACAGCATCTTCAGGCAAGTTACCTGGAACTGTAAGTAAGAGGGACAGGAAAAAGTAAAGTGTATATTAGACATAATAGTGTTCTCCTAATGTTTCAATCTTTGTGGCATTGATCCCTTTTTTACAGGACAGGAAAGTTACCATTGTTAACCAAGCTTTTCTAGCAACACATAGAGGATTTCCCCCTATCTTCACATGTGAATCCATTTACACACTTATCCCACTGTTGTCAATACCAAGTCTCGTAAATCCCAGACCTACTGTAGGGCAACAACACTAGGTCTGGGAAAAATGTGGGAATATTCCTAATTTAAGTTCATATAGGTTAAATGGAATAGTAACTGCAATATTGACACTGACAGTAGGCCTATAACCTCTCACATGTAGTGTAATATAATATTAACTACTGCAGAATTATGCATTTATTGCAGTAAAATTATATATCAAATGTAAATTTTCTCGGGAACAGGAATGGAGAAATATTATTTATTTATTTCAGCATCTTTTACGAAAATGCAAATGCACATGTAATGTGTTATCTGTGACTCTGTTATGCAAGCAGACAGTATTTCAACCACATAAAATATGCACCCAAGACCAACTGAAGTCTTATCAGAAATGGGTTTAATCCTTTTCTCAGCTTTTAATTTCCTTAAAACCCGTCAAACTGATGACATATGGACATTTTGCACAGGACCTATCTTGCCACTGTTTTGGAGTTATTGCGTTTTCACCCCGGTCCCTAAACAAAACTGACAACTTTACCGGTGTTAACTACATAGATTACCAATGCATTCATTCTCCTGATGTAAGACATTATTCTGGTGAGAACTACTTTATTTAGTCTTATGGGCCAACAAGTTATGACAGAAGAGAAGCTGCATGTGTCTAACTAGTTTACAAACAAATGGCCTACCAAATGTCAGAAATGATAAGCAGAAACCTGTCTGAATTAGGGGTGAAAGTAGCCAGCAGGCTATACGGTCCAGTGTGAGAATCAGCAAACTAAGTTATTATGGAATTATTATTGTGGATCGAACCTACTTTCTGAAGTGATTTGTTTGACAATCAGATGAAAACATTACACAACACCCATGATATGTGAAACTGTGCCTGTACAGACCACGAAAAACAACAGTAAACAGGATAAGATGTTTACATGCCACAGTATCTTATCCAGGTATACAAGCTTTTCTGGTTATTGTAAACGGGATATGATGTTTATATGCCTCAACTCAAAAACAGAATACTTATGTATCCCGAATAATAATGGGATATTGGTGTGCACTAAAAACTGCTATGGTGAAAGCACTTCTGAAGAAAAGTGATCTCGATTCTTCAGCTCTTAGCAATATTTCGGCCAATCTCCAACCTTCCATTCATAAGCTAAATTCTGGAGAAATTGGTCTTCAAACACCTAAATGCTTTTTTAAGTGCCAACTGTATTTCTGAAAAATTCCAATCTGGTTTTCATGCCAACCACAGCACAAAGCCTTAGTTAAAGTCATAAATTATCTTAGAGCCAACACAGATACCAACAGCTCTCTGTCCTTGTACTCTTAGATTTAAGTGCTGCATCCGACACTGTTGACCATGATGTCCTTCTGGACAGACTGGAGAGGTGGGCTGGGCTCTCCGGTCCTGTTCTAAATTGGTTTAGGACCTATTTAACCGGCCAATATTTTTTTGGGTCACCCTTGGAGAACAAAACTCAGAGAAAATACATATCACATGTGACGTTCCACATGGTTCAATTTTGGGTCCAGTACTGCTGAGTTTATATATGTTACCCCTTGGCAGCATTATCAGAAAGCACAGCATTGATTTTCACTGCTATGCAGACAATACATACTTTACATTTCTGTGTCACCAGAGGATTTTAGCTCCACGGATAAATTATTAGACTGTATTAGTGATTTAAAAACTTGGATGGCTCACAACACCAGGTAAAAACCCTAGGTGTTATTTTTTATTCTGAACCCTGAGGAACATTGCCATGGTGTGGACGTTTCTCTTTCAGTCTGATACAGAGAGACTCATCCATGCTTTTATTATAAGCAGGCTTGACTTCTGTAATGCTCTCCTGTCTGGTCTACCCTAGAAAGCCATTGGTCAACTGCAAAACATACAGAATGCTGCACGGGTACTGACCAAGACCAGACGGAGAGCACACATTACACCGGTTTTAAGGTCTCTGCACTAGCTGCCTGTGAGTTTTAGAATTAATTTAAAGATTCTTCTAAGATTGTGTGACCCAATACATGTCAGACATGCTTTTAAGTTATGTACCCAGTAGGTCCCCCAGCTCCTCTGGTAATGGCATTTGAACTATCCCAAAGCCTGGGACCAAGAGGCATGAAGAGGCAGCCTTTAGTTATTATGCCCCCAGCCTCTGGAATAGCCTGCCATAGAACCCGAGGGGGCTGAAACTGTGGACATATTTAAAAGAGAGCGTAAAACACATATTTTTAGCTTTGCTTTTCCTCAGGGTGCTTTTTAGTTGTTCAGTTTGTGTCATTCTTTTGTTTTTTATCTTATGTTTGTTGTGTAGTAAATATTTCAGCTTTTATTTTCATAGTTTTTATTAGTTTTTCCCTGTTAAGCACATTGCGTTGCATTCCATGTCTGAAATGTGCTGTATAAATGAAGCTTGATTTGATTTGATTTGCATGCAAATGTGGTCAATGACAATTGCCGAATGTCATTACACTTTTTGGTGCTTTGTAACAGATGTCTCTTTCCATTCATCAAATGGTGCGAGTGCACAGTGCACTGTTTGGATCTGGAATTCTTTTAGAGTGGATGAACATGTGCAGGTAGCCTACTTTTTGAAGTGATTTGTTTGACAATAAGATGAAAACATCATGACTAGTTGTGTTCATGCCAGATGAAAAGGTCATGAAAAATGTTTTACCCTTAAATGACATGCCATTACTATTAGGCCCATAAAGAGCAGGCCCACGCAAGCGCGTGCACACATATGAGGTCTATTGAAAAAAATAGATTTCACGGTATAATTCGCACTCTGCCTATCTTAATATATGAGATATAGACCGAAAAACAGTTTTGGGGTATCGTCGACAATCGGGTTAAGTGTGTGTAGAGGGATTCACATGTCAAGATGGGGAAAATCCTCCTACGGCTGCTGCATCAAATGGATTGAGGACATACCTGATAAAGTTTTCTCCTCGCTTTGTGATCGGTCACCCCAATCTGTTTCCAGTTGCCGTTTCCTGATCTCTTCATCATTCATTTCTCCTGTGTAGCAGCATGGATCATTTTTAGACGCCATGAGGTCTATCTGTTCAAGTACTGCTGAAATCTCGGTTGGATCATTCATACTCCTTTTGCAAGTGAGATACCTATTTCCACACATTTCAATGAGATTCATCAGATCATTGTTCTCCTTTAGATCACCCAATCCAAAATCTTGCTCATTCTTGTGGGTAAAGACGATTATTGTAAAGGCAAGGGCTCTCTCTCTAAGCATTCTTTCCAGCCACCCCACTCCCATTTTGAATTCATTAATATGCTGACCCAATGGTAGAAGTAAGAGGACAGCATTGATACCCTGCTTATGCACAAGTGGGACTATGTGATTCTCCTGGGTAAGTTCAGAACTCTGCAAGCCCAGCATGTTGATGACAGAGATGCAACGACTGGACAAATCATACATCCTGGGTGCTATCTGTGAAAGTTCTGCTGCTGGTAGATTATCTTGACCAAGAAGGAGATTTCCAGATTCAATCTCCATAGAATCAGTGCCACCAATCAATGCAATTGTCAGAACAGGAGTCACTGAAAAATAATTATAAGAACAATTAAATGTACATACTGTTAAGTTAGTAGCTGTAAATCTCTTACAATACTATGACATTATGGTTGACTAAAACAATCTCACCTGACTTATTTCTATTTGTAAGTTGCTCTGGATAAGAGCATCTGCTAAATGAATAAAATGTAAATGTCTTACTACTTTGTGGGAAATTAGAAGACGTTGTGATTTCTTTATTTTCTTCATCAGTCTTGGTTGTCTTGTTATCCTGTTGGTCGCTGTGTTGATTCTCAATGTCTGTGATGTCAAGGGCCTCAGGCGCCAACTGTAGAAATAGTTACAGTGGATGTATCATTATCATGGGAGTATCAAAATACATATCTGGATTACATCATTTGAGTACAAACATTTATACAAGTATTTTGTTGTAGTTACTGTGTAAATTAAAAGGTAGTGATCAGATGACATTTACTTCAGACCCAAGGTTTGGAAAAAATGGGTACGCCCCTGTCATGCAAATTCTGCATAGGTCTGCTGTCATGGATTCAGCCGAGGCTGCTCCTCCTCCTTGCTCGGGCAGGCTTCGGCGTTCGTTGTCACCGGAGTACTAGCTGCCACCGATCTATGTTTCAGAGCTCCCTGTTGCGCATATGTGTATTGATATTGTATTTCCAGAGTTTTCCCCTAATTCCCAGCATAGGGCGCTCGTAGATTCAGGCGCAGCTAGGAACTTTATTGATCGTCAGTTTTCCCGTAGTTTAGGGATTCCTATTGTTCCTGTTGATGTGCCCTTCCCTGTACGTGCCTTAGATAGTCGCCCTTTAGGGTCAGGCCTGATTAGGGAGGTCACAGCTCCACTCTGGATGAAGACGCAGGAGGGTCATGAGGAGAAAATAAGTCTCTATCTGATTGATTCTCCTGCGTTTCCAGTGGTGTTGGGGCTTCCCTGGTTAACTACTCATGACCCCATGATTTCATGGCAACAGAGGGCTCTCAAGGGATGGTCTAGTCAGTGCTCGTGGAGGTGTGTAGGTGTTTCCATAGGGGCAACTACGGTGGAAAGTCCAAACCATGTCTCCACCATGCACATTACCACCACATCGACAGGGGGATTGTGCGATAAATCTCCAGGTAGGCACTGCACTTCCCCGGAGTCACGTGTATCCCCTGTCACAGGAAGAGACGGCGGCTATGGAGACATATGTCTCCGAATCTCTGGGGCAGGGATACATTCGGCCATCCACTTCACCTGTCTCCTCGAGTTTCTTTTTTGTGAAAAAGAAGGATGGAGGTTTACACCCGTGCATTGACTACCGGGGTCTCAATCAGATCACTGTCAAGTACAGTTATCCACTACTGCTCATTGCTAGTATGACGGAGTCATTGAACGGGGCGAGCTTCTTCACAAAATTGGATCTCAGGAGCGCGTACAACCTGGTGCGTATCCGGGAGGGAGATGAGTGGAAGACGGCATTTAGTACCACATCTGGGCACTATGTGTACCTCGTCATGCCGTACGGGTTGATGAACGCTTCCAATCCTTTGTAGATGAGATTTTCAGGGACCTGCACAGACAGGGTATAGTGGTGTATATCAGAGCATATGAGCGGAGTGGAGCGGTGAGAATCTCAGCTCCTCGCTCACGGAGCTGTTCACCCCTCCGCTCCCCCCGCTCAAAGCCACATCAGGCCAGTCCGCTCATTATCGCTCAGCGCTCAACGCAGTTTGCATCGCGCTCCACTCAAATCGCCCCCCGCTCACTCCAAAAAAGGAACAAAATCTGCATGTATTTCACTTTTAGCTTAAAACACAGCCTTACTTTATCTCCCCGAATTTGTTGCATACAGACTCATCTCGGATTATCCATTCTGTCTTGAAACGGGGATCTAACACTGACGCTAAAATGAGATGTTAATCAGTATAGTATATTCCATAGCGAATTGACACGTTGTTTGCCAATGTTTCTGCAAAAGCAGCGATGCCCATTGGAAGTGCAGCGTGAGTGTAATCGGTGAGCAGGGATTTGATTTATGTGACAGCAGGGAGGATCATCCCCAGGTTCCCCAGCTCCTTCTGCATTTTGTCTGTGAGGTTTGCTAGTGGTGTCAGCACACTGACAAGGTGCGTCAGCTGCCGTACTTGATTCAGGGTGATGTTAGCAACATTAGACTTGAGTTTGTTTTACCATAACGGGTCTTTTTGGAACAACCGGATGAACGACTGAATCATCCGCAGCTGGCTGCTCCATCGAATGGCGCAGGCATTTGTGGGGCGGACACCTAATTGGTCGGTTTCCTCTGTGCTCTTGCGTACACTTTTCACCAGGTGCCCGACTTTCACTAACAGCCTATTAATGTTGTCGTGCTTGTTAACGGCGTTTTTGATCGCCAGCTGAAGCATGTGAATGGGGCATCTCAGATGTAAATTTGACAAAGTAAAGTACTGATTTATCATAGTTTCTTGGGGGAGTGTAGCCCGGTTGAGCTGCGCTGGCGAAGTGTTGCATCCCTTCGCGTTCTCCTTTACTCAGCGGTTCATAGTCCATGAAAACCATTTCAAAAAATGATACATCCAGCTCTCTTTTTCTCTCCCTTGTTATGGTTGGGCCTTTGCGTGCAGTGAATAAACGTTTGAATTCCTCAACCCTTTTCTCTTGTTGCTGCTGCTGCTCCTCTCGCTCTATAAAATACAAATTCATGGACGACACAAATTAAATTAAACAGATGGATTCTGGGTCAGGCTTGAGCATGCTTCAGACTCGTGGTGTGAGCGAGCGAAATTGGAGCGGGACATAGGGCGACGCTCCGTCCTTTTAAAAATGCCGCTCTGCGCTCTGTTCAAAATCCGTCCGCTCACGCTCCACGCTCGCTCCCGCTCCACTCCGCTCATATGCTCTGGTGTATATAGATGATATTCTCATATATTCCGCTACACGGGCCGAGCATGTGTCCCTGGTGAGCAAGGTGCTTGGTCGACTGTTGGAACATGACCTGTACGTCAAGGTGGAGAAATGCCTGTTCTTCCAAAAGTCTGTCTCCTTCCTAGGGCACCGCCTGTCCGCGTCAGGGGTGGAGATGGAGATTGACCGCATTTTGGCTGTGCGTAATTGGCCGACTCCAACCACGGTTAAGTAGGTGCAGCGATTTTTAGGGTTTGCCAACTACTACCGGAGGTTTATCCGGGGCTTTGGTCAGGTAGCGGTTCCCATTACCTCCTTGCTGAAGGGGGGACCGGTGCGCCTGCAGTGGTCAGCCGTGGCGGACCGGGCGTTTGGTCACCTGAAGGACCTGTTTACCTCGGCTCCGGTGCTGGCTCATCCGGATCCCTCCTTAGCATTCACAGTAGAGGTGGACGCATCCGAGGCTGGGATAGGAGCTGTACTGTCTCAGCACTCGGGTACGCCACCAAAACTCTGCCCCTGTGCTTTCTTTTTGAAGAAGCTCAGCCCAGCAGAGCGCAACTATGATGTGGGGGACCGGGAGCTGTTAGCTGTGGTGAAAGCTCTGAAAGTGTGGAGGCATTGGCTTGAGGGGGCTAAACACCCTTTTCTCATTTTGACTGACCACCGCAATCTGGAGTACATCTGGGCGGCGAGGAGATTGAACCCTCGCCAGGTAAGGTGGGCCATGTTTTTCACTCGTTTTGTGTTCACACTTTCTTACAGACCAGGTTCCCAGAACGCTAAGGCAGACGCCCTGTCCCGACTGTATGACACAGAGGAGAGGTCCATTGAGCCCACTCCCATACTTCCGGCGTCGTGTCTGGTGGCACCGGTGGTGTGGGAGGTTAACGCGGACATTGAGCGGGCATTACGTACAGAGCCCACTCCCCGCCAGTGTCCAGAGGGTCGTACGTACGTGCTGTTAGAGGTCCGCGATCGATTTATCTATTGGGCTCACACGTCACCCTCCTCTGGTCATCCTGGCATCGGTCAGACAGTGCACTGTCTTAGTGGGAAATACCGGAAGCTGGGTCGGCGGTTTGTTGGGCCATTTAAAGTCCTGAGGAGATTGAACAAGGTTTGTTATGGGTTACAGCTTCCTCCTGTGTATCGTATTAACCCCGCGTTCCATGTGTCTCTCCTCAGGCCGGTGGTAGCTGGTCCACTCCAGGAGTCTGAGATACGGGAGGTTCCTCAGCCCCCACTGGACATCGAGGGGGCACCGGCGTACTCGGTCCGTTCCATCCTGGATTCGAGGCGTCGGGTGGGGGCCCTGCAGTATCTCGTGGAGTGGGAGGGGTACGGTCCGGAGGAACGGTGCTGGGTCCCTAGGAGGGACATCCTTGATCCCTCCATGTTGAGGGATTTCCACAGTCGTCATCCGACTCGCCCTGCGCCGTGTCCTTCTGGCCGTCCCTGAGGCCGGTGTCGGCGCACGGCTGGAGCCGCACGTCAAGGGGGGGGGGTTCTGTCACGGATTCAGCCGAGGCTGCTCTTCCTCCTTGCTCGGGCAGGCTTCGGCGTTCGTCGTCACCGGAGTACTAGCTGCCACCGATCTATATTTTTGTGTTCTACTTGTTTTGTCTTCATTGTACACACCTGGTTCCCATTATGTCTATGATTTGTTTTCCTATTTAACCCTCTGGCTCCCACTGTGTTGTGTGCGTGTTTGTTCATGTTTGGTTGTCGTCTGGTGAGCGGGTTTGTTTCCTCCCTGTGTGGAGGTTATGTTATTTACGTTACCTACGAGTAAAGTACGTTTTTGATTAGCTCTGTGTCCTGCGCCTGACTTCGTCCTACCGCATCACACTGACACCCTGACATCTGCACAAATATTAATATCATATTGAAAGAATAAGTTATTTCAGAAGCTAGCAGATTCATTAACTACCAACAACAGCTGCAAATCCCAATTAAACTACATGTTTTGAAGTTTACATTCCATGCTTTGTCTAACAACACTATCATGAATCTAGCAAAGAGGTTTTGTGGATCAGAGTGCAGTATTTATTCAGTTTCATAGCACAAACGTTTGCTAGAAAGTTTCTCATACTGTCTTTAGCTGGGGCCTGCTAGGGCAAG